CCGAAGATTCAGCTCCGATCTGATCCGGGCTTCTCAGGCCTCTGAGCCGCAACCTTTTCTCAGACGGGCTCTGGGCAGCATGGGTGCTGTGGGCTGCCCTCACCGCCCTCACCAGCCCAGGGCTGATCACGCTTTTGCCCACCCCACGCTGCCCTGCCTTCGACTCCCGCCCCCTGCACACACAACCGCACCCACCCTCACCTTGCCCCTCTGGTTAGTGCCCCTACTGTGACAGCTGCTCTAAACTTGGTTGTTTCATAGGGATAGATCTCGTCCTTCCAGCTAAGTGGCAGTAAGAGCCCCTCACACCTGGACGGCATTTCAAGCATTGGTCCTCAACCTAGGCTGCATAGGAGCCTCCTTGGAAAGGGAACAATAAAAAGGGTTTAGATCTTGAAGCCCAGGCCCCACCCCAGATCAAGCAGCTCAGAACCTGTGCAGGTAAGACCAAGAATCAAGAGTTTTTAAACTTTCCAGGTGATTCCAGGAGCAGCCAAGGCTGGGAATTACTGCTTCAGACCTCTGGAGTCTGCCACGAACACTAGGTGATTTGGCCCTGTGTCCACCCTGGGAAGGGATGTGGCCAAGTGTTACCCATGTTCTCGGAGGAGAAGGCTGAGGCTGGGGAAGGCGCATGCCCCGCACAGGGCTGGGACTCGAGGCCAAGTTGTATCCCAGGTTCAGTAATTTTCTTGCTGCTTCCTGCTTCTGCAGTCACTGCAAGCTGCTCAGGGCTGGGCTGCCTCCAGATCCTCTTTCTGCCCTGAAACAGCCAACATGGTGCTGGGTACTGGAGGACTGAATGAAGATGAATGTCCCGCCTTGTACTGTGGTCCCTGTCTTCTGCAGAGGTTGGCGGACTTCCCTCCTGGGCCTGGTTGAGCGTCCGCCAGCTCCCCAGGAGCCTCCGTGTCACAGGCATCTGGAAGGATGGTGAGATCACACTAATGGAGTTGCTAAGTCAGAGAGTCAGACTCCCAGGCCACAGTCCCCCTCTTCCTGCGTACCCGGCATTAGTCATGACTAATAGCCTTTAGCTTATCTAGGGTGACCAACCAGTTTACTCCGGACTGAGGGGGTCACCAGGATTTAAGACATTCAGCTTTAAAACCCAGACAAGCTGGTCACTTTACTTCTCTCTCCCCAGTGCTGGTTGACACACTTTTCCTCATGGGGTCCCAAGCCTCTGCTCCTTTTACTGTAACCATTGCCGTTGTTGAGGGCATATAAACACAAGGCCCATGGCATCAGTGGCCTTGAACCTTCTGGCTTCCTCCTGGCCTGGCCACAATAGCTTTGCTGGACCATCGCACCCATTTCTGTTACCTGCACAGCCTGGGCTCAAGTGCTGTCCTGCTGGCTGTTTACCCAATGGCTATTGAACACCTACTGTGTGTACGGGATGCACAGAGGTCCCTGCAGTGAGAAGTGACCACCACCATTCCCCAAGAAACGTGCAGCATGTCATGAGGTATATTGGCCAGGAGGAGCAGGCTTCCCTGGGGGAAACATCTAGTGCAAAGGTGCAGCTATGCAAAAGAACAAGGCAAACAGCCCAGGGAGGATGGAGCGCCGGGCGGGGCATGGTGGGAGGGCTGGCCTGTCACACCAAGGCGCTTTACTCAGCAGGCAGAGGCATCCATCTGGGGTTCCCACTGGCTAAGGATCTGGCTCCTTCCCAAACCAGACAGGAAAATTAGGCTTCCACCCCAGCACCCAGCTGGTCTAGGGCAGTGGTTCCCCTGTGCAGCCAGAGGAAAGTCCATGGGGGACGGCCTGGCCTTGGGTTGATGTTCTTGTGCTAGAGCAGATGTTCTGGCCCACACCTGTGTGTTACAATGCCCTGGGCAAGTCCCAACACCCAGTCTGCACCCCAGGTCAATTCACCAGCGGGTCAAGGTAAGACCAGGGGACCTCTATGCACAGCCGGGGTTGAGTGAGAACCCTGTGCTAGAGGGACACAGGGAAGAGGCGGGGAGGGACTGCTTACAAAGGTTCTGCGGTGGGGAACTTAACCATTGCCCTAGAGGGGGACAAGCACCTGCCAGACTCGCCTCTGCTCCCCTTGCCATCCCACTTCCCCCTCCCATGTGCCACATGAAAGGACACAGAAAGCAGGGAAGAAATGACCACACTTGGAGAAGTGCTTTCCATGATTACTTGCAATGCATTCGTGTGCTGAAGATTTAGAACAAGTTGGGTGTTTGGAGGTCATTTGTGGGCATGCTGAGAGTTCCAATAACAGCTCAGAGCTACTGCTAAGCAGGTAACGTTGGGTCTAAAAGGGAACCAACCAAATCTGCAGTTGTTTCCTTCTTTTAAGTACTGCAGGCCTGTAGCACAGAGCAGAGTTCCAGGCACAACAGCCACAGACAGGGCTGCGTCGCCCCCTAGTGGCGAGGCCTGAGTACAGCTTTCATCCTCCACTTGGAGAAGCTCCCGCAAATGCTCTCTTGCAACTAGGAAATTATTTCAGAACAGAGAACTTGCCATGTAAGGTCTGAATGGTCTGCAACAAATACCTTATAGCTATATACCTGATGCCAGCAGGCTTCATTGCCTCAGTCCCCGGCACACCTCTTGATTCCCCACACCGCAGCAGAGCACCTCATGGGAAGGATGGGTGGCAAGTCGGTGCAGTGGTTAGGAGGTTGGGCACTGGGGCCGGCTCCTCCAGGACTCCCCTTGGGGCCTTTGGAAAGTCACTGAAGCTCAGCCCCCTTGTCTGCACAATAGGGACAACACAGAACCTAACACAGGGTTTGAGGTTAGCAAGGACCCAGGAAAAGAACTGCTTGACTTCCAGTAAGGGCCACAGGCAAGCCAGCAGTGTTAAAAGATGTGTGTTTTTCCCCAAGCAAGTATGTCACCCCAGCCCACATTCAGACTGTGACAGAGCATGCTTCTGCCTTTACTGTGGCTGCTAGAGCTCAAAGACAAATAAAGGTTTCCCCAGAGCATTTCTGTAGGGCTTTATAACTTAAATTTTGAATTTCTGTTTCTTGGTATTGACATCCTACTCTGATTTGATTTGTTCTTGGTTTTCATTTCTTCGTAATTTCCCTGTTTTAGTTATTTCCTATAAGTCTCCTCAAATAATTTCTGGAATGAGGTAGATATAAACAAGATGTTATTTTGGACTTGACAAATTTTGCTCTTCACACGTACATGCTGAGCTAGTTCCGCATATACTTCCAAATGCTATCATCTTTAAGACAGAAACCTTCTGTCTAGAAGACTGGTGGTTCCAACATAAGAATCACAATCACCTCAAAGACTTAAAAAAAAAAAGTTCTAATTCAGAAGGTCTGGGGTAGACCCCTGGAATCTGTAATTTTAAAAGTTTCCCAGCTGCTTCTGCAGCAGGCCAGAGGGCAGTGTTTGAAACTCTCTGGCATGGCAACAGAAAGAAGGGGGTCATGAGTTATAACAATCAATGTCAAATTCCTTTACAAAATGTAATTTTCTAAATAAAATAAATCTCAATTTTATTCAACTGATGTGCTTTAAAAACAATGGGTGTAAATCCAAATTTGCAAATCAAACCCACGTAAATTCATTAGGGCAAATGACATAGGACAAAACCCAGCAGTGATGTCTTCTATAAAATCAAGACTCTTGTACTTACTTGGTCTTTGAGTTTGGCTTCTTAAAGTGGTCATACCTCGAGTAAATGTCCGTGTAATAAAGATATTCCCAAGTTCCTCCTGACAACCCACCTGTGTTATACCACAATAGGCACACCAAACTCCTGTACGAGGTGGCCGTGGCCGGCTACTGGGGTTTTCTTGCACCAGCTTGACCCAAGAGTTCACCCCCGACTCCACTAGAGGGTGCTCCTTTCCTGGCCTGGGAGCCTTCCCTACACTGGAGGCTGTGGAGACAGTTGTACTGTTAGACCAAGGTGTGTTTCTCACAGGACACTGAAAGTGTGACGGAAGGTGGTCACATGATGACATGGTCTCAGTGCCCCTGGGCCCCCAGACACACTGGCTGCTGTTCCTCAGCCCCTGGTGGTAAAGACCCACAAACTACTTTCACAATTTTTATTCCAAAGAAGGGGAACTGGCTCTCAAGGTGCAGCATGAAAATTCACTGAGGCCAATAATTGTTATAAAGTGTGGAAATGTGCTGGTATAAACTACAAAGACGTCATATCAGCCAATGCAGGGAGGGGGTTGGGAGGTATGGTTTCTGCCTCAGAGTTCAAATCCAAATGACGCAGCTGCTCCTTGCATACTTTCCTCCAAAGTGTGCTGTCTGGCAGGATCCTCCGGTGCCCAGGGACCAGGACAGCCAGGTCTGTGTGGTCCAAAAATCTATTTTATGGACTGCCAAGAGCCCTGTGGGTAGGCCCTGGGAGAGCAGGGGTGCTGATATGATGAAAATTTCAAACTATGCCACCCCAAAGTTAGATCTAGGTTTGAAGGTACAGAAACCCTCTGCACCCTCCAGGCCACTGTTTTCACTCTGGCAGGGCCCTCAACCGGGCCCTCAACCCTTTTCAGAAGGGATCACAGATTCCTCCTTCCGTGGAAATCTGGGGCCCCCGTTTGGACCAGAGGGGTAGGAGCAATGGAGATCCTCTCTGACCAAAAGTGTGAAGTTAGTACCCAGGAAACTCATGTTAACTATCTGTGCCAAGTAAAAAAATTCACCAAAAGGGGAGACTGATGTCACAGATGTGCCTGAAGAGACCAATATGGCTGCAGAAACAGGTGGGAAGGGAATAAGGGAGGTGAAATGGAACACATACAGAAAAGAGAAATTAGAAGATAGTTCAAGAGACAAAGACAGGAAGTAGGTGGGGCAAGACAATCTAAGGTGGGGTTAATACTGACCAGATTTCAAGTTCCTCCGGGAAGTTCTGAGGGTTATTTTATGTCTTGCCATAAGGCTACTACTGTGCCCACAGCTGGCAGGGCTGGCAAGGCCTGTGATAAATGAGAAAATATACTAACCAGGTCCTTCTGGTACTTTTACCATGTAATCACATCAGATAGACTTCAAGACAGACTGGCTTTATAATAAATTCCACAATATACCGGGTATTGGCATAGCCTTCATCCAGGGCCAGTCAGAGAAGGAAAAAGGTCATGGTCCCTGAAAACAGAGTGTTCAAAGGACAAACATACTAGGGATGCCTTCAAGGTGGTATCTGCCTACACTGGCTAGGCAGAATGGGACTTGGCTAGCAGGTGCTAATATATTTCAAGGAAGAGAGGAGAGTCAAAGAATTAATAGATGCTAAAACCAGAGATGAGACTGTAATTGACAAATCACTAACCTTTGCTCCCAGCTACTTTCTAAGGAGCAAAGGCCCACCAAAGCCTGGCATAGGTACCAAGCTGCAGTCTTTGAACCTTAATAGCCAACCATTCAGTGAACGACTGGAAAAAATCAGTGACTAGAGTCTTTAGTCTCAAGACTGAACCCTCCCAGGGAATAACACTGGCCTCACTTAAGAAAGGAGAAACACCCAACAAATATAATGTGGAAAATCTTACTTGTTATCAGCAATAGCTTCAATGCCTCGTTTCCCCTAGGTAGCTGCTCCCAGGGAAGAGTGATGAGTATTAGCCGTTAGTCATCTACATGTCATTGGGGGTAGTGGGGGGAGGTGGCCAGGAGCAACAGCATGTGAATCAATCTACTATAATGGCTGCAGGAATAGAAGGCCTCTCTCTTCTCCTTGCTTTTGCTCCAGCCTATCTATTAGGAACCAGAAAAGCCGGATGATGAGAAGGTGTGAAAGTGTGGAGAGTCCTGCATACAAGGCTCAGTGTGGAAGCCTTCCCAGGATGCACGTCAGCTGTGTGGACAAAGCCACCAAAGCCATTCTTTCCCTTCCCCAGTGAGAGTGAGAGAGAGAGAATAGGGACTTCTTTCATTTCCTAAGCACCGCGCATCTTGGTGGCCCTGGCTCCCCCTCCAAGATGTCACAGAAAACAGAGCATGTTTGAATCTAGATCACAATTACTCCCAAGTGTCTTCACAGTTAAGACAGGCACACATTTCAAAAGGTGGTCTATGAGCCCCCTCTCTCTTCCATGCACACACACTCGCACGCAGTGGGAACGCGGTTCAGCTGCAGGATGTGGCTGGCTCATGTCAGGTACTGCACCACGAGGAACATGACCACACAGGTAAGCAGCATCCCGCCGATCATAAAGTACTTGTCCTGGAAAGCCCGCTTTTCAATGAGCCGCATCACTGTGTTGGACAAGCCCAGCATGTTGGCAATGTCAAGGATCTTCTTCTGAGTCCCCTGGAGCAGATGAGAAGAGAAAGAAAAACAAAGATCAACTAGCTTTGCCAAGGGTGGTGAATGTCATCACGAGATGGGGCTTTACCAACAGACATTCGCTTGGTCATGCCCAGAACACAGCACCAACCAGAAATAGATTCACTCTCATATGGCCAACTGTTTCTTGATCAAGGTACCAGAGCAATGCATCAGGGAAAGAAAAGTCTCTTCCACAAATGGTGTTGGAATGACTGCTGATACATCATATAAATGTAGCTTATAATGCACATACATCTCACATATACATATGTGCATAAAAATGAACCTCAATTCATATATAGTATAACACTGAGATGGATTATAGAATTAAACATAAAAACCAAAACTACAATAAAGCTTTTAGAGATACATCTAGGAGAACATCTAAAAACTAGAAACCATCCAGGTGTCCATCAGCCAGAGAATGAATGAACAAATTATGGTATTACTGTATCTGCACAGATCGCTGGGCAATAGAGAGCACCTAATTACCAACACGTAACTGAACAGGAAACAACATCGGCGAACCTTGGGAACACTACTGGGAGGAAGAAGCCACACACAAGAGTCGTATGACTACATTTATATGAAGTTCAATAATAGGCAAAACTAATTTATGGTGAAATAAGTCAGAACGGTGGTTGCCTGGGGGAGAGGGATCGACTGACTGGGAAGGGGTACGAGGGATCTTTCAGGGTTGATGGAAGTGATCCATACTTTGATTGGAATGTCGGTAAAAGCTGTATGCATTTGTCAAAATTCACTGAACTGTATAAATAAGATCTGTATACCTCACTGTATGTAAATGATACCTTAGTAAAAATATTTAAAGTTAAAATATTTTATATTTTAAAAAAGTAACATCAAAACCCTTTTTCTTGGCTCCCTAGCTCTAATAATCCTTGATACCAACCTGTTCACTTTGTAGAGTAGAATCTTTGGGGAACCTACCGCGTACAATACGTAGATCGAAGTCCATGTTGATGACAGGGTTTGAAGTGGGAAAAGATGGAAAGACAGAAACACCAACATAATGACCTAAAACCCCTTATATAAAAGTCATCACCCACCACCAAAACAAAAGGGTATTTTATTTCTAAACCAAAAGCCCAAACCATCCAGACTGTCCTTCCTGACTACTTTCTAATTTTCATCTTTACACATATCTAATTTCTCATGAAGCAGCAAGAGTAATGAACACTGTGCAGACCCCAGATTACTCCTACACACGACACCAACTGCACCTGCATGGATGGCATCTAACCTAACGCCCCCCCCCACATCCATCTTTTCAATGAACTCACATGAATGAGCAACTGAGAGAAGAGGTGGGGGAGTGAGAACAACACAAGGCACTATGGACAGGAACTCAAAGCCTCCATTCCACCCAGACAACAATTAACAAGCCTCACTGAGAGAGATCTCAAGTCCAAATTGACTGCTGTCAGAGGAAAGCAGAGAAACATTTTCTTTCCATGATGGTGACAGTAAACGTTAGATTCTTGCTAAAGTCTTGCTTGGCTCTGAATGTGCGAATTATTTCATCACCATGTGAGGTTAAGGATCAAGCTTCTAAATCATCTAAAAACCACCATAAATGTCAAAAAGTGTATTCATTTTCTGCCACGATTGGCCCGCAGCAGGGTGCTTCAGCCTAGCTCCTTCATGCCCTCTCCTATGTTCCTTTCAAATGGTGTAGGCGGAAAGTTCCCTGACAGAGGCAAGGTGGGAGGCAGGTGGAGGGAATCAAGAGACAAAGCCAGGCAGTAGTAGGTGTGCAGAGGAAATGGAATTAGAACCCTGTCTCAAGCCCCAAGCACCTTGACAGCCTCCCAGCACTTCACCTCTGACAACAGAGTGGGTGGCGGAAGGTGCATGGACTCTCTCAATGCTGCCAGACTTCAGCAGGAAGCTAACATGTGCCTTAAAAATCAGCTGTGACCCCCACTGGCTCTTCATCAGTGTGACACATAGTGTCGTCCTAAAAGGGCTCTACTGCTTTTCAGAGATATGGAAGGAGAGCAGCAGTTTCCTAAAGAGAGGGCAGGCTAATCAACACATATCAGTTCAGATCACCGCAGGTGGCTCTTATGAAAGGGGCCCACCCAGCAGGCTGCCAGAGACCACCCTTCCAGGCCATCTGAAACACCGCAACTATCAGCAGGAGGCGAGTGTCACTTGCACTTGCCTGACCCTCTCCCTGGTAAAACAGGGGCTGTTCAGAAACGTACCGAAGTCCTACGGAGCTGACAGGCTCAACATGGTCCAACAAAAACTAAGATAAAGCTCACACTTCCGAGTGACTGTTTCTCACAGCTCAGTGGCTGGGAGTGCTTCGTTCACAGGGAACCACACCCTGATAACAGGCAGAGCCCACACCCCATTATCCACCAGGGCTGATACAGGAAAAGGGCTGAGGCTGAAACATCGTGTCTGACATCAGAGTCTGTGTAATGTTTCTGTAAACCACTCCCAGGGGCTAGCTGGAGTCTCAGCAGTGCCAATGGGGCAGGGCTTCTAGGAATACCCGTGGCTAAAAAGAGCGTGAAGAGTCTCTGCGGATCACCACCACGTGCTCTAGAAGCTATTTACTGCAATCAACGAGGCAGCCCTAAGTCCCCACCCATTGGGATTCAGTTACGGAAGTACAAAAGGGTCTTAGTTACAAGGCAGTCCACAAGAGGGACCCTAAGGGAAAATCACCTTAGAGTGAGGTACCAAACTATAGCCAGGTCTTCATTCGCACAAGAGTTGATTCTATACAGAATTTCTCAGCCTATTATTGATTCCCCTTGTAGTAGCAGTCACTTTCAGATAAGTTCAATAAATGGGAAAAGATCTAGAAACCAAGAGAGGCCACTTTATGGTCTGTTCCAAGCACTGGCAAAGGAGCTGGTTACTTTTAGGCTCACAATAACTCAATTCCAACAGGAAGGATCCCAAACTCAAGGGCTCTGTCTTGTCATCAAAATATCACAATCTGGGGACATGTAATCAAAATGTAAACACAGGTACCAAACTGTTGGATGAGGGCAAAGCAAGAGGCCTTCTCCCTGTCCCCCAGTAGGGACCCCACCTTCAAAGTCAGTCTCTGGGCCCTCAGTCCCTCCAGAATACTGTGCCCGCCTCCAATGAGGTCATCCATGCCGTGGTGAACTTTCTGGAGGGAGGAGTTAAACTGCAGGGATTCGTCCATTGGTATGGTGGTGTCAGAGTCCTGTGAAAGAAACGCAGGCACTTAATTAACTTCACTTACTAGTCATGTCCTGAGGGCTGACTGCCCCTGGCCAAGGCCAAGCCTGAACAGCAAGAGGGAATGAATAGTGCAAGAATCAGAGGAACCTAACAAAGAAAAAGCAACAATCTGGGGTGGCCTCTGTTCACAAAGAAGAGGAGGAACTTGCCTCAGATTTGTCACTCTCCAAATGAGTTTCACTACACAAGTATTCTTAATCCTGCCTCTGTGTCATTATCCTCGCTTGGGAAAAATTATTCCTTCAAGACCTCATTGGATTTCTCCTGAGGGCTTTCTCTGACTACTCTCTAACCTGGCTTGTTCCAAATGTTCCTTTACTTGGCTTTCCCTTAAAGTAGTATTAAATGTTTGCTTTTGTTCTTTTGCTATTTTATCTATAGCTTATGTCTCCAAGGAGACTGAGACTGAGGATAGAACTATGCTTTCTACTGAAAGTCTAACAGCGTTTAGGATGAGACTATTCTCCTGAGGGGGCAAGGAAAGTTTGCTAAAGAAATGAAAAGAGAAAAAACTAATCATGATTCAGTGCTTTCCGCCTTACAGGCTCACCGCCCTGAACTCACTGAATCCCCACTCTCTGCAATGGTTACTCTAATTATCCCCACTTTACAGATGAAGAAACTGACACCCAGAGAAGTAGAATGACTTCCAAGATGACACAGCTGGTAAGAGTCCAGCAGGGCAAGAATCTGGGTCCTGAGTGCACGGCCTGCCCTCCTGACCGTACTGTGGGAGAAGCACCAAGACCAATCCTGGTGGCTTTAACTGTACACTCAAAGTGGCCGGTAGACAAGAGCAAGTCATTACCAGCTGTAATAGTGTTCTCTTTGCTTTCCTGCCTCAGGACAATTACAAACTCTCCTGCCATGTAGTGCTGTTTCAATTGTCATAAAGAGGTTAAACCATGTTTTCTTTGTCGGTCAAATTCAGAATCATTTTTCATGTGTACGTTTCAATCACCCCTGCTAACATGGGAGCTTCTCACAGGTAGGAGTCATGTCTTTTAATTTTCTCATACGTTTTACTCTTAGCACCTTAAATAGTGTTCTGCATACAGCCAATGCTCAGTGGGGTCAAAAGACTCTAAAGTTTGAAAGAATCAATTAGAGACTTCTCTTCATTTATTTGACAAACACTTACTGAATGCCATTTATATACAAATCTTTCTTACCCTCCCATCTGAAAGGGTATGGCTGAGGGGCCATTATCTCTCAGAAAAATGTATCAGAGCTCCAGATCAGAGAGTGACCAGGAATAAGTTTCATTTGGCAAGCCGATGTTTATTAAGGGCCTATTGTATGCACAGCTTTATTTTGGCAAGAAACAAAAATAATCCTAAGCAATCATCCCGGCCCTGAGAAAGGGCTGAATATAACATAGTAACTATCAAAAGCCCATACAACATCTCTTAGTGTGTCTTACAGTTCATTACATTTTTGAATTGTTAAACATTGTGACTTGACAGCTTACTCTGGAGAAACAAAAACTATGCAGGCACATTCTGACGCTTGGGGAAATTTACTGCAAAGCAGGGATGTAGCAACAAGAGTTAAACATCTGCACAGTGGGAAATGATATGAATTCTAATGACAGGCTTAGAAAGCTAAAATCTTAGAAAATTAAACCTCTCTGTAAAAAACAAAATACAAAAAACCAAAACCCATTTCATTTGGTGGAATAGGTTATGCAGGACACAGAGAAAGGCCAGTATGTTCTACAACCATGTACAGGAAATGATACTATTGCAATTAAAGGGCACAGACAATGGGTTCTAAGAAATCAAACATGAAAACCAACAGATTTTTCAAACAGATTCAAGTCAAGCAGTCCACCTAACCGTAAACATCTGTTAACAAATTCCTCCAAATTGCTGCTCAGACTAGGGGCAAAAACATTTTAATGCATCTGACACTGGAACCACACACAGACACGGCACAATGGCAACTGCCTGAAGGCAACTTTGAAATGCTGCCTTCTCTACAAATGGTCTAAGTTCTAATCATCTGTCTCTATCTGATGAGAAAAACATTTAGACCATGTGAACTTCCACCTTTCTGCAAGGGACCAGTCCAACCAGGTAATTTTCACCTTTGCCCATTCCTTCAATTTAACTGCTTCCTCTTCAGGTTTTTGTGTTAGAGAAAGAGACTGCCTGTCTAGGTCTAGCATCTGTGGCGATGCACAGAGTCCACTGGCATTTTCAGTTGGTTTCCTTCTCATCAGCAGGCTTCAGACACCCCCAAAAAAGACAAAGCTCAGAGACTTGAGCTCCAGCCCCCACGATCTGCCAAGGACCTGCAGACCCCCACCAGTGCCTGGCTTACGTTAGTGGTGAAGGTGCGAGACAGAAGCTCCTCTCGCTGTCTCTCCTGCTGTTCCCTTGCATAGCGCCGATGCTGGAAGTTTCTCAGAGCAGTCTGCAGGTGCTGGACATCATACTTTAACTGGTCAACACGACTAGAATTGATGGAGAGAGAGATTAAATTCCAGGAACCCAGGGCAGCACAATCTGAGGCAGCCAGGCTGTGTATTCGGGAAAGATGACGTTTCCTTAATTCTCCCTACACCACCCCACACCATCCCCCAAGAGATCTGACTTTGATCAATGGTGTTGATAGTAAAGAATTAGCCTGTGGTTAAAGTGAGGTTGTGGCACACAAGATTCTAGCTGCTTTACTCAAATATCTAATGGTCTCTGATTCTGGATGCATAACAGGGAACAGGTGAGAGGAAGCAGGTTAGATGACCTCTCCCTGACCTTCTATGGATTATTATCACTCCCCTGAAAGAAGCCCAAGGGCATCTTTGAGGTAAAGCATCAGTGAAGTTTCATAAACCTTTTGGAAGCAGGAGCTGGGAGTAGAGGTGGTAAGGGTGGTTTCATTTTAATTTCATGGTGCAGTATCAAACATTAGATCAGTATTTCATTATAAATAGACTGACCGAAGTGATTAAGATCAAGATTTCATTTCAACCCAAGAACCCAGTGGGAGCCAAATAGCAGAACAAAACTCCTCGGCAGCATTAGGCTTCAAGTAGCCATGGACCTGGTCAGAAAAAAACTGGAGGCAATATTTCAAAATGACACCAAAGAGGTAAGGGGTCACAAGGCTTCTGTGCCACAAACCTCACAGGCTTTTTATTTTGAGGGGTTATCACTCAGATATAACTGCACCCTTTTGGGGAACTTTATCTTTGCATAGTCTCAGTTTTTCAATATTTCAGAATATTCTACAGCCCCCTCAAAGATCTGTCTTGACGGACCTAGCATATGAGAGCCATGTCAGAGGTCAATACTCACAGTTTCGCATTCTGCCTTTTGTTAGGGGGCTCCTTGCTGGACAAAATCTCCAGACGTTCTAGACGGCTGAATATCTGGTCTATGCTTGCTTGGATTTCATTTTCTACTACTGCACAAAAGAGAAAAAAGAATAATTGCTGGAAAAGAGATAGTGAACTTAAATTAGAATGATAAATCACCTATTTTTTTCTATATCCAATAAACTAGAAAATACATATTTCAAAATGAGAAAAATGTATACAATAATGAATGGAAAAAAATTCAAGGTATACTGTAAATGCTTCTAAAAAAACCACATATAGCTGTTCATACCATAACAATGCCAGTTTTTTAAAAAAGCTAAAGGTAAACCTATAGAAATAAATTTCCTATCTTTAGAAAATAAAATGAACATTTAAAGGTTGTCCAAATAATATTTTAAGCTAAATTTTCTGATATAGGTTTCTTTTCTTTTGAGACTGTTCTCAGACATGGATTATAAATACCTAGTACAAAGACTGCCAATTGAAGTCCCTACAGTAATGAGGTTAACAAAAAAAAAAGCACAAAGGAAAGGAAAAATTAGTATGTGAAACGTACAGAGAAGCACTCCCTTAGGCTTTCCGCAAGAACAGGTGGGCTGAGCAATGCTGGAGTCCCCAAAATAGACCAAAAACCAATAGGGAAGGCCCAGGAAACACTCCACAGAGGTAAAAAGATGATAAACAGTCATTTTCCTTATCCCTTTTGATAAGACGGTCAAAATGACCTCTTTTCCATTTCTAATCATGCAACAATAAGATTGTAGGGAAGGCAAACAAAGTCCAATTAACAAAGAAACTAAACTGTGCACAAAAGAAAGCAGCCAGACTGCTTCTTGCCCCCTAAAGAAGTGACAGCAGTGACACTGCCCCTTCTAGGCCTTTGCGCCCACAGCTAACAAAGGCAGTTTAGATTAGAACAAGGTGGGGAGCGGAACCTAGAGAAGGGATGCTTTTGAAGCTGTGAAAGGAGAGATGAGAGAACAGGAGGAAAGGGCCTGGCGACAGGCGAGCAGTGAGGGGGGAAGACAGCCCCTGCAGGTGGTTGTCTGTACAGCTGACTCAGAAAAAGGACCTTTTCTTAGAATAGAAAAAAACCCCAAACCCCAAAAACAGCATGCTTCTCAGAAGAAACCATGGTGTGGGAACTAAACTAATTAATATTGCTCTTTGTTTCCAAATAATCCTCCTAAAAAGCCACAGTTCTCAGCTCAGAAGAAATGGCCAATTCCAGTTAAACATCTCTGAATTTTTATGGAGTACATTCCTCTAAGGACTTGTTAATTAGATTAAGACAGATGGAGGAAAGAGCCTCCATTCCCATAGGGCCATGTCAGGTTGAGTGGAGGGGTAATGGGGGATAAGACTGGTGGGATTCCAAAGGGCACAAATCAGGAAATCAGTGACTTTGCCATGGGGTCTTTCTGTCCACCCGAACAACAAAACTCATTCCACACTGAATCATTAAGCCCCGGAGGCAGAGTGCAGTCAGGAAACCCAACCCATTAGCACCGTGTCATCAGAGAAAGGACTCTGGTCTCCATAGTTAATTACTCACAGTGCAGAGACTGCTTGTCTGCTGTCTCCAGGCGTCCCATGTGAGACTGGACCTCGTGGACCTGCCTATCAAAGGAAGAGGGAGGAAATGAGTGAGACAGGAGTAATCAACAGCGCTTCAGTTAGGAAAGACAATTTTTCTGATGCCAACACGTAACTGATTTAAATTGACAGCATCACTGAACTGTAAAATTTGTATGTGGCACTTTAGGCTACACATTCTGGCATGGTTTCTAGTATCTTGACACAAATATTAAACTACTATTATCATCCTCATCTCATAAGACTGAGGCCCAGAAAGGTTACGTAACTTGTTCAGGGTCACACAGCAAGTGATAAACCTCAAACTGGACCCAGCCAATCCTACACTCTGTTCTATGACCCAATGTGCTGAGCACTGGTCTGTACTAGGAAGAGTCAAAGGGCAAGGGAGATATAATCCTTGTCCCTGAGAAACAATGTAATTAGGAATGACAGGCCAGATAGACATGAAAAAGCCCCGGGAAGATTTACGAGAAAACCAACACACATCAGTGTAAACAAACAGAAAGCTGAGGAGCTATGCAAGCAAACAGAAGGGCTGGGGCCAGGAAAGAGGAAGCTGGGAAGTTTTGTGGACAGAGGGACTTCTGAGCATCATTTTGAAGAAAGGAGAAATAATTTGTGAAGGAAGATTAGGGAAAAAATGATATGAAAAAGGCATGCAAGACATGTCATGTGGATTATAAGCAGGCTGGCCTGCTTGCAAGAGAGTCAGGGGAGAGGGGAGAGGGAGATGAGGCGATTAGTTGGGGGAAATCATTCAGACAAGGCCCTCAAAGATAGGGATCTCCTGTTTGGTAAACATCTTTCCCTGGCAATAGGGAGGGATTGCCATGTCATTTGGAAATGCAACTCTGTACCATGAACTCAGGCATGGTCCCAGACATCAGGCCCTAGAGCACTCTCTGGAGGCTTCCCAGGGCTTGGCCAAGGTCGCCCTCAGAACCTTTCCTAGTGGTCCCCCATGATCAGTGCTTGGGATACTGATCATGCTGGCCCTAACAACCGCCTCCTGGTGCCTAGGGAGGAGGTCTCCCCACATGAGAGCCCATGTGAAGGGGCCTGCTGGGCTCTCACATCAGCCCCAACTCCAGGGGTAAAGGTGAGTGATCTTCCTCCACTGTGAGCACCACCAACCGTGAGCCCAAATTTACCAATGCCAGCCAGGCACCCAAATTTGGTTTCAGCTTGTGTCTAATCTTTCCCAGGGCTTTCCTATGGCCTCTAAACATGACCTAGGGCACCAGAAGAAGCTAGGTAAGCTGTCAAATGACTCCAGAGGCTGCTCCTAGCCAAGACTTGCAGCCCTGAGAAGCAACTGGAAAAATCACTACCAGAGTCTGAGAGACCAGACTGCTCCTTCAGCAAGGTAAGCCCAGCATACTCTGGGATGGGGGACATGGCGGTGTGGGGGCTGGAGGAGGAGTGCAGTGGGAGGTGACCGACGTGTGGATCAAGGCAGCTGTGGGAACAGCTACAGAGGCTGGATGGCAGCACCCATGGACAGGATTCGGGCTTCACTGAAGGCCTGGATGTAGGCTGTGTCAGAAATTTTCAGTGACTTAACAGAGCAAATCTGAAGTTTGGTGGCATTATCAACGGGAACAGCAGTACAATAAGAAGGTGGGGGAAAGGGGACAAAGAATAGCCATGACAACTCTGAAGAAGTATGAGGAGAAATGACTTGTTCCTTCTACCACTAAGACTTATTACAAAAGCCACAATAATTACAATGATATAGGAGCAGTGCAGATACAAATGCACAAGGAAAGACAAACCCTAATCATGACCCAAGAGGAAAGAACAGAGGCTAGAAGCAGTCCCACATATTTGGGAATTTGGTGACATAAACCAGTTGGAAAAGAATGGGCTACAATAAATGCTAACAGCTCCATTTGTTATCCATACAGAAAAAGACACCTCAGGTAACACACAAAAATAAACTCAAGATGGTTAAAAATCTAAATGTAAAAAGGCTTTTAAACTTTCTGAAGAAAATATAGGTACATAAACAACCTCAGGTTAAAGGAGGATTTCTTACCTAAGACAAAAACCAACCTCCCCCAACTCACAAACCACAAAAGACTGATAAGTGTGACTACATTACAACAAAAAACTTCTTTACCCCAAAAGTACCATAAAAAAGAAGAAAAATATGGCACAGATTGGAAGATATCTGCAGCAGATAATAAAGAACTGATATCCAGAATATACAAAGAATTGCTACAAATCAGTAAGAGTCCAACAGCAATTTTTAAAAAGAGGGGGAAAGGGCAAATGACATAAAAGGAAACCCCAATGGTCAATAAATACACAGAGACACTCAACTTTACTAGGAAAACACAAATTGAAAACAATGACATTGGCTAGGCATGGTGGCTCACACCTGCAATCCCAACACTTTGGGAAGCTGAGACAGGAGGATCGCTTGAGGCCAGGAGTTCAAGACCAGCCTGGGCAACATAGCAAGACCCCATCTCCACAAAAAACTAAAAAATTATCCAGGCCTGGTGTTGCAAGCCTGTAGTCCTAGCTATTGGGAGGCTGAGGCAGGAGGATCACTTGACCCCAGGAATTTGAGGTTATAGTGAACTATGATGGTGCTGCACTCCAGCAGGGAGGACTGAGTGAGATTCTCTAAAACAAAAACAAAAACAAAAAGCTCAAAAACAATGACATCATGTTTTCCCCATCAAACTGACAAATATTTTAACCTTTTGCACTCGATGTTGAGTGTGACTTGACACAGTTAGCAAAAATTATAGAGATTAAAATTACTCTTTGAATGTATCAATAATTTGAAATATAAAAAAATCCAAATAAATAAGTTTATATGAAAAGAAACTCCAGTTTTTTATTCTACTGCCACGCTTTGTAAAATCTGGGGTATTTAAAAAATTAAATCCCGAATAAAGGAATCGAGAAAAATGCAAGCGAGTGCAAAGGGTTAAAGACTGAGAACATATACATCGATGAGGATATAGGGAGACTCAAACTCTCATACATGGCTGTTAGGATTATAAATTGCTAAAACACTTTAATAGCTTTCTGATAATAAATAACTAGTAGAATCAAATATGCTTCCGTCCTATGACCCAGCATTCTCCTTCCAGAAATATGTCCTAGAGGAATTCTGGCAAACATTAAAGAGGAGACATATATGATAGGGATGTTCCTCAAAGCACTTTTGTACAGGCCCATAAGCCACTGACATTTCCTATCCAATTTCTATTTGCTTTGAATGAATTAGAGAAGATATAGCCAATAAAGTGATTCCAAACTCTACATTTCATCCTAAGAGGAAAATAAATGTAATACAACAAAGCAAGTATGAATGGCAGGGTGGGAACTACTAATATGCCAAGTAGAAAATCAGTTTCAAACTAACTGGGAATTCAGACAACACACTCAAAGCCAATAAGGAACAGGTAACAGATACACAAGTATGAACTGGGAGAGTGGATGTTAGAAAAAAGAAATTTTAGCCTTCTCTAGCATGGTCCATGGTGGGCTTGGGTGACAATATAATCAAGCAGAGAATTAGCAGCAAGAAAGCAAAGGTCACTGTTGTTGTTTTTAAAAAAGATTCAGAGATGTAGGAAGAATTTTTAAATGGAACTCCTTTTTAAAAGTCTATGAAACTATATCTCCCAGCCATAATACACACTCACTTTGCATCCATGCTGCCTCTGACCACTGAGCAGGAAACAAGGCTTTGGAGTTAAAAGGTTTAGGTTGAAAGTCTGGTTCTACTATGTACAAGCTTAGGGACATTGAGCAAGTAATTTAACTGCTTGGTACCTAGTCTCCTCAACTGTAAAACAGGGGTACTAACAACTATTTAAAGGGTTATAAATCCAAATACATATGAAAATGCTGTGTAACCTACACAGCATCACATAAGTTTGCTGTTTTACTTAAAAGTAGTAGCAACCATCCAGTCATTTTCATTTCACCCACTTTGCCTCTCTACATTTAGCCTTTACCCCATCAGAGGGCAAAATTGGTCTTGAGATAAGGTAATAGATCTTAAACCCAGCTGCTCATCAAAAGAATCTGGAGAGCTTGTTAAATATACAGCTTCTTGTGCCCCAAACCTACTAAGTCAGAATCTCTAGAGATAAGGTCTAGGACAGTGGACTGATCTTGGACCTCTCAGGGAACAAAGGTGGACACCTTTATAACCACTGGGGTCTCAAAAATAGAAGCCTGGCTATTAGCTCCTCTATAAAGTTCATTTTAATATAATATTATTTAAGTGTAAAATGTTTATTCTGTTTTTCATCTTTTGTTCATTCATTCATTGCTCAGATCAGGAGTTTTCAAGATATGTAACTTTAAAATGTTGATCTAATTCCAGTGTACTTTCAGGAACATGACAAGAGATAATCACAAATTGGGTTCAAAGTTCCAGTAAAATTAATATGTTCAGTTACTGTTGTGTCAACTCAGCTACAACCATTAATTTCTGCAAATTGCAAAAGTTAATTGCTGGTGTTCACAGGACTCCATGTGCTTCCTCTGACAGACACTGAATCACCAGTATTACGGAGCTGAAAGCAGCCTTACAGTCTCACCAGCCCAAACTACTATTTTACAGATGAGGAAAACAAAGCAAGGAAGTCTAGAACCAGAACTCCCACTCCTGGTTTAGTAGTTGAGAGGAAAGGTAGACAGTAACATATTGTAGAATAAAAGAAAGTAAACTCCCTGAGGGCAGTGCTGTACTACCAGCACCATAAATGGTACCCAACACATAGTAGGTGCTCAACAAATATTCATTGAATGAATAAGTGACGGGATAGTGGAGGCCCTAATAGTGGTGGAGCAGTGTAAAAACACTGCTTGCTCTTAAAAATAAAATTTTATTAGAATATAGGCACGTCAATTAGTATACATATTGTCTGAGGCTGCTTTCCAGCTATAATAGTAGAGTTCAGCACTTGCCACAGAGCTTAAAACATTTATTATCTGGCCCTTGACAGAAAAAGTTGACAAACCCTGCTAGAGTCTGAGGTGGGTTGTACTCCACAAATCTTATTTGGGACACCATTTAATATTCCTCTTTTGAGCTACACATATTTCTCTGCAATTAGCTACCTGCTGTACTGATAACAGGTACAATCACAGACTCTCTGAACAAAATTATTCTTGAAAATAAACTGGGTCCCTGGCCTTCTGAGCAACGTCCTTTAACCAAATTAACTAACCAGATAAGACCATACATAACATTAAGCCACTACTAGATAACTGTGCCTTGCTACTGTAAAAGATCTGCCCTTTCTTAATAACATGAGCATAATTTTCTGTTTCATTCCTTTTTCCAATGACTCAGATTAGTTTTAAGTCCCTTCCTATAATTTTTATATGAGAAGAGGGCTCCCCAGTGTAAAAGCAAATCCTGTCATTATAAAGTCGGTTTTATATTTTCACTCACCTAAATCAAACACTTCATTGCCAAAGTAAAAAGAAAGAAACCTAACAACTTAGAAAATAAAATACTAAGTGAATCATCATCCTCTTATTCCTAATACTCCAAAACATTTCAGTGTTTGTCAATTCATTAGGGAGGCTGAGTGCCTATTTTGTTTCATTCCCAGGCCCTGGGAGTATGATTTTAAGTGTTTTCATCAGAACAGAACCATAGCATAAATTTGGATGTTCTTAAAATAGTATAGGTATATACCTCAAAAAATTGAAAACAGGAACTAAAACATATATTTGTATACAGAATTGATAGCAGCATTATTCTCAATAACCAATGATGGAAACAACACAAGTGTCCATCAAAAGATGAATGGATAACAAAATGTGGTATATACATACAATGGAATATTATTTAGTCATAAAAAGGAATGAAGTCCTGAAATATGCTACAACATAAACCTTTAAAACATTATGCTAATTTAAATAATTCAGACATAAAAGGATAAACACTGTATGATTCCACTTACATGAGGTATGTGGAATAGGAAAATTTGTAGACAGAAAGTAGAAGAGGTTACCAGGGGCTCTGGAAGGGAGGAATGGTTTAATAGGGTACAGAGTTTTTGTTTCGGATGAAAAAGTTCTGGAAATAGTGGTGATATGAATTGTGAATGTACTTATTGTCACTGAATTGTACACTTAATGGCTAAAATGGTAAAATTTTATATTATGTGTGTATTTTACAATAAAAAATCATAAAAATTTTTTTCAAAAATATTAGGATTAAGTATGGCCCCTATCACCATACTCAACAACATATCTCAGCAAGTTCCCAAAACGCAGGACAACATAAATAAAGGACACTACCTAGGAATTTAAGTTACACGAGAGGCTAAACCAAAATTTGATTTCCATAAAGGTACCCTGTAACCAGATATGACTAATAAGTAATAACAGTCAATGTTACTTGTATAGCAATTTCTTTCTACCATAAAAATGCGGTTTTTAGTATAAGTCAAATAGAAATAAAAATACTTTTTTCGTATGCACCTTAACTGTCCAAATAAACAGTAAAGTCCTATAGGCAAGGGCCCTGTCTCCTACTTCTCCGTGTCCCCCCACTAGCTCTACCAACATAGAGCACCGAGTTGGCAAGTGCTTGATATAATGCAGGTAGTACGGCTTTCCATTCAACCTACTCTACCTAGCAAGTGATCACGGGCTTGCAGACCTCAGCAGCCCTTTGCCCAACGTATCTGGGCCCCAGGCAGAGTCCCACTGTCCGCGACTGATCAAGGCATCCTGCCAGGGATTAGGCACTTCCAAGCCGCCTCGGCAGTGCCCCGGCGGAAGGACTCGGCTTCGACAGCTGCAGACGTCCGAGGCCCCAGCCCCAGGAGCTGGCTTCGCCTAGCCTAGTCCCCGCCCGCTCCCCTACGCGGCCCTCACTTGTGCGTTTGCTGGTACAGCGGCTCCATCTCGCCGGCCGTGCCGGCCCCGGCTCCGGCTTCCTCGAAACACGTCCTCACAACCCCCCTTCCGGCTTCCGGTTTCCGGTCGCAGGACCCTTCCTCCCCTACCATACAGGGCTGCCCGCACGTGCGCCTTACTGGCGGTGGTTGCGAGATCGGAGAAGGGGAACGAGAAACGAGACCCGACAACGGAAGGATAAGTGTAGTCAGAGCTTGGCTTCACGTGGAGGCTAAGAAGGTGTAGGGTTTTGCTGAAGGCCAGCTTCAGGATTGCGTCAGGCATTGGAAAGGACAGTCGCAGGTACTGACAAGAGGTCCTCAGAGCAAAATCGAAGGCAAGCCGCGGCTACCTGCTCTACCTGCAGCGGAGAGGGTCGGAGCGCTCCTGCTTGGCTTCGCTTTAAACCATTTCATTGTGGGTCTGGAGATTTTGCTCTTCACTGGATTCCCTGGCACATGATTTTCCTGTCTCCAACTTGTCCACTCACTCGCCTGCCCATCTCCCCGCATTCCTATTTATCCACCCAATAACGCCACATGAATGAGTGGTAATTCCGTGTCATCTGTGATGTGGGGAAAACCGGGTTTCTCCTGCCCTCAAAGAGTTTTACAATCTAGGAAAGGAAATAAGATATGTATACGGTCAGAAGACAAAAATACAACAAATTTGGTTATAGATCTTAACTGGCTTTTGTGATTCTAGCACTGGGCAACACCTCATTCTATAAAAGTAGAATGAATGTTCCAGTCAGCTGAGCAGGGGAGGATGGCTTTATAGACAGAAAAGGGCCGAGGAAAGCAGAAACAGAACAAGAAGCAGATTGGTCATTTCGGAGTTATTTTACTTGTAAAGGTTAAAGCAGAGGGTTCTATCATAGGGAATATGGCTATTCTCTTTCTCTTTTTGAAAGATCAAATAAACGGTTTTGGCTTGGTGGTGTAAAACGTCATGAGTAAGTCCATTTAGGTTTGTTCTGTTGGGCCCAGTGCAGGAGCTCAGTCCCAACCAATGGCCTTCCATACATTTTATTTAACAATACGAATAAACATTCTGAAAGGTAGAAAATCCAGAAAGATCCAAAGGTTGAGCTCAGCTGGGGTCGACTCTGGGAGGAGATTCAGGAAAAACTTAATGAAGTGACATTTGAGTTGGGATTTGGATTTGGACACTTCTTCCTTTCCACAGGCTTTCCCATTTCTATCCTGCCAGGCTTATCTGTAGTTACTTCCAAGGGAGGAGATGTTCCTCTTCCTTTGACAAATTGATGCTATATTTTCCTGTATCCTGGATCCCACCCAGTTTGGTATCCCAAGAGACTGTCCACCCATGTACATTCTTTCCCTAAAATTATTTTTCCACTTATTCTAATGTTTGTTAAGCATCTACTATGTACTATGCACAGATATTGAGTATTTGAACACAAGCAAGAGACAGCCCTCAAATTTCCCATGTCTCTTACAGTCAGTTGGGAGAGTTAATCATATCCTCAAGCTACATTATGAAGTAGAATATATGCTACAGTTGATACAAAGTACCATTTCCCTGGGTAGGAGCAAGAAGGGTTCATGGGCTTAATAGCAGAAGTAGAGTCAACAGAGGACAGGTGTGGTAGCTCATGCCTTTAATCCCAGTGCTTTGGGATGCTGAAATGGGAGGATCTCCAAAGCCAGGAATTCAAGACCAGCCTGGGCAACATAAGGAGACCCCGTCTCTACAAGAAATCCTTAAAAGTTAGCTGGGTGTGGTCGTGTACGCCTATAGTCCTAACTACTCAGGATGCTGAGGCAGAAGGATTGCTTGAGCCCAGGAGTTTGAGGTTATGGTGAGATATGATTGGGCCACTGTACCCCAACCTAGGCAAAAGAGCAAGATTCTGTCTCAAAAAAACCCACATGGTAATCCCTTTGCTAGCTCCCTGGCACCTACAGAGCACACTAATACACTCTTGTGTTGGCAGACAGAGCCCTCCTTACTGGTCTCACCCTTGGCCTCTTCCCCCATCCTCACGAAAGTTAATTGCAGCTCTCCTCACAGGGCCTCTGTGTCTTTTGGCCTTTGCATGCACTATTCCCTGTGCCTCAGACACCCTTCCCTCTGCCTCAGGCCTGGCCTATTCTCATTCATTCTTTAGGTCTCAGATCTGGCTTCACCTTGTTTGGGAAGTGCACCAGAGCTCCTCTCCCGCTCTCCCTGAGCACCTGGTGCTCCCCATCAGCACTTGTCACAGGGGTCCCGATTCTCTGTTCATGATCCTGAGGGCAGAAGATGTGTCTTTCATCCCTCTATATCACCGGCATCCAGCTCAGAGCTCGGTGTGAGGTGGGTGCTTATTAAATATCTGTTGCCTTGTAATGGACTTCATTTCATCATCTCATTCTCCTGAGTGTTCTGCCTACTTGGCATTTTGGAAGCCTAGAATTATTTGAAAATTGACTTCTAGGTGATTAAAGACTGCCCCCAGCAGTGGAGCCCATCTTGCTGAAAGAGTCGCCACTTGGAATCAGTGTAAAAGCAATAAACAAAATGCCTCCTCTTCGAGCATTTTCACAACTGTTTCTCATTCTGTGCTTATAACCACCTGCTGGAAGACAGGATGGCATCACCATCCTGGTGTTCTGGACAAGGACATTGAGCTTCAGAGAAATGAACTTGCCTGACCTAGCTTGTTAGAGGCAGAAGAGGACTAGGACCAGGCTGCAGTCATGCACCACCCTCCAGTAGCTGCTGTGTCATCAGGCCTTTTTTGACCCAAAGATGGCCTAGTCTCAGATAAATAGGCACCTTTGATTGCTTCTGCTTTGGACAGCAACAAACAACCCTAGTCACCCCCAGCCCAAAGCCAGAGAAACCTAATCTCACCATATCTGGATTTGCTCCCCAACCCCGTGGGTTAAAGCTGAGCAGAGAGAAAGGATGACATTTCTGAATTGAGAGGCTGCAATGAACTGAGAAAAACAAGCATCTGTGGCCCCTCCAGGACCCACCAGGTGGAGGGGATGTTGCCCCGGGTGCTGTAGGAGGTGGGAAGAGGACTCCAAGGAAGCTGCCCTCCTGGGAGGGTCCATCAGCAAATTGTCTCATGTAGCCATAACAGCCAGGAGCAAGGCAGGGGAGAAGGGTTTTGTCTAAGGGAAGCCAGTGTATTGTAAACAGGATAAAAGGGGCTGGAAAGCCCCACTTATCACTGACTAATGTGTCCCCAGGTCATTGGGGAGCTGGACCCCTACCAGCAGTCCTGAGTGAGGGAAAGAGAATTCCCGATTAACCCCATCACCTGTGAGCGGGGCCAGGGCAAAGGTCTGGGTCTTTCTCTTGCTAAATGATTCCAATGATCATTAGGCATTCCCAGCATTCAGCAGTCTCAAGGAAGCCCTCCCAGACTGGAGGAATGCCTTCGGAGCCCCCTGCTTTTGGGGGCCACATGGAACAGGGGAGTGTACCTGTGGGCATCCTTGGGAGGAGAGGAGGTCTGAGGCAGGTGGGGTGGCCTAAGGCTGGGAGAAGTTACAGGGGGAGGGTGGTGGTCTCCTGGTCAACCGTAGGGGAGGAGGAGGCTTGCATGTCAGCACATCGAGCACTGGGTTGGCTTAGTTTAGATTTGAGAGACTGACCAGGAGATCAGTTTCCCCAGGATTATAATAATAATGATCTCATTCATTCCTTATTCCACTCACTCCTTATGCCTCTTGTGTGCAGGTGTCTTAATTTATAGATGAGAAAACTGAGGCTCAGTGAGGTTAAGTAAAGTGTCCAAAGGTACACAACAGGTAAGTGGCCTACAGAGACCTGAACCCAGGCCGTGCTGACTCCCAGCCCGGGCGTGTAAGCACTGGTTGGATCAGACACCAGATCAGCATTTAAGTGTGAAGACTTTGGAGGGATGCTCGGGTCAAGTGAGTTCTACTCTCTCTGAATATACTTACCCCTCTGGGGAGCCTTCTCCGGCTATCTGTCTCCACCTCTGGGTCCCCACTTTCACGCACCATTAAGACATGGGATAGTAGAAAGAGTTCAAGATTTTGATACACAGAGCCTGAGTTTGAGTCTCCAATTTGGTCTCTTTGGACAAATTAAGTCATTCCTCTGAACCTCAATTTCTTTATCTGTAAGATGGAAACAACAGTACCCGCTCCATGTATTTCACTGAGTTGGAAGAAGATTGAATGAGGAGAATGAAAGGGTTTTGCACAAGATTTGAGTGTCAGTTATTGTCACAGAGGGTGTCACAGAAGCTTTTTGCCCCTCACCCGCTGCCTCTGCAAGCATATTGCCTTCTGCTTCGTCTGCCTCTGACGCCACCTTATGCACATCAGTCCTGCTCAGGAACCAACAGTGGCTCCCCGCTACTGCTTCCTTAGCTTGGAACTCTGTCTTCCCCGGACCGACCCACCTCTCCCTTCCAAACTCAGAGCCTCTTCTTCCCTGCCCTGCTGGCCTGACTGTGGGCTCAAGTCAGGGGTCCTACTCAGAGTGCTCCAACGTGGTGTGTTCTCACACATGTGGGCCTTTGCTGGCTCCTAAAGTGACGTGTCCCCTCCTCCAAGCTGGCCTTTCAACCCTCTTGTCTTTATCATTCTCACGGGCGTGTTGACTTTCCACATATAATCAGTCTCCAGGTTGAACCATAAGCCCCTTTGAGGACAAAACCCTGCTTGCATCTGCACAGGAATCTGCTCAGCTACTCTAGGCTGGGCAGGCAGTGGGCTAAGGGGATGTCTCAGGAATTATTTCATTTATGTGTGGGGTGAGGACACCTTGTGCTACCACGAGACCCACTTGATGGGTGGTACTTTGAGGACCTGGTGCATTGGAGGGCTCGATATACATCTATGAATTGACTCAAGCTGCGACAGGCCAGAGTGGAGGGGGAGGTTGCTTTTGGCTTTTGCTCTTTCATCCCCATTCATCTCTGCCATTCAGTGAGTCCTGGCAGTTTCAGGTGTGGGGTGGGAGGTGAGAGTGTTGAGTAATTTCCTTCTGTGCCCTTGATAATCAACAAAGTGTAAACGCCCATCAGTTTCCTCATTTGCCCAGAAGGAAACTGAGGCACAGGGCAGGGATGTGACCTGCTGAC